GAGTGACTGATATACACTAAGGTCAGTAGAGTTTTTTTATTTGCGTCACTTCCTCTCTGCGGCCCTGAGTCTAGAGCGATGTTCCCGGAGAACATCAGACAGCCAGGGGGCAGAGGAGGTGGTGCGTGCTGGTCTGGATGAAAGGGGGCAAAGGTTGTCTAAGCAAGATGTTAGAGTGGAGCAAAGAATGTCAGTAGCAGTGTTTGTGTCCAGTGCTGAAAACTGAGAGGGTGGAGGAAGCGAGGATGAAACCATAGAGGATAGGTGAGTGGAAGAGAGCGAGCGTAGGTTACGCCGAAAGGTGACCTGCGGAGGAGTGTGCGTTGTGTCCGGAGTCAGTGTGAGGTTAGAAGTGATGAGGAAGTGGTCTGAGGTGTGCAACGGTGTAACTAAAGTGTTGTCCGTTGAGCAGTAGCGTGTGTAGATAAGGTCCAATTGGTTACCTGATTTGTGAGTAGCTGTAGTAGACACACGCTTGAGGTCAAATGAGGCAAGCAGAGTGTTGAAGTCAGCTGCCTGTGGTTTATCTAGGTGGATGTTGAAGTCACTGAGTAGTACCAGAGGAGTACCGTCCTCAGGGAAGTTTGAGAGTAACACATCCAGCTCATTTAAGAAGTTACCCAGTTGACCTGGGGGACGATAAATAACTACAAAATGGATTGTAAATGGGTGGGTAATAGTAATTGCATGTGATTCAAATGAACTGTTGCCAGTAAGAGATGGTAGGCTATCAAATTTCCATTCTTTGGAAATAAGTAGACCCATCCCCCCACCCTTCCCAATCGGGCGTGGGGTGTGGGAAAAAGTGAAATTAGTGGAGAGGGCTACAGGAGTGGCATTATCCTCAGGTTTGATCCAAGTCTCAGTTAGGGCCATGAGGTTGAGACTTGAATGAGTAGCAATAGATGACAAAGTCTGCTTAGTTTACAGCAGACTGGCAGTTCCAGTTCCTCTCTCTGGCAGGTAAATACATTGAAGCGGAAAGGAAATTCCCATTAGCAATGAATGGTTTTAAGCTAATGTCTTAATGAAGGAGAAAAACTGGAATTATTACATTGAACAAAGACGTAGCTCAACTCTGCTAACTGTTATTCTCACTTACATGTTCAGTGATGTAGAAGTAACCAAGTAATCGGCAAAATATAAGGTAAGGTATAGTTCATCCCAAAAATGACCATAATGCCATTTTTACTTGTCTTCATGTAGTTGCAAACCTGTATGACTTTCTTTATTTCTTTGGAACACAAAATAATAGTTTTTGATAATGATAGTCAATAGGATAGAAAAAGCTTTGGACCCCATTGACTTTTATCTTAATGGACAAAAATAAATAAATAATAAAATAAAAATAATATCTTATTTTGTGTTCCACTGCAGAAAGAATACATTAAATGCATGCAGAAAATTAAAATGAAAAGAATTGCAAATTGAGATGAATAACTGATACAGACACATTGACAGTTTATTTACAAAGCAATTTAATATAAAGTAATTAAATATATATTTTTTAAAAATCATTTCATGTTGACGTGGGACATTGGTAATCTATATATAAAATAATTGCTCTACCTGATTAAATATAAAAATAAAGATTACAGTTAATAATTATTGTAACTAATATCGTTTCCATTATTTTTAATAATATTTCTTAAAAAAAAAAAATCTAGAAAAGGGGGTTTCATTGTACAACCCGGTGGTCCCCATGTTTACATCGCATGACCAGATACATACTCTGCCTTTTATCTTAGAAACTCACCTTATTATCATTATTAGACACTTGCAATTACAGAATAAATTAATAAAGGGTGACAAATAAATGCATAGGGCATAAACAGGGCATTTCACCCATGACATCTGTAAATAAAAACTTTTGCATGATGCAGCATCCATGCTAATAGGTCCAAGTCATATCAGAGACAGAAATAAAATTACTTGGTGCTCCATTTTGAAACGTACGCAGATAATCTATGCAAAACTAACCGAATACCAGCTCTTCTCCTGACTTTTGCTATTTGTAGCTTTATTATGGGCATTTAAAATGACCCAATTCTTAAAACATGTACAAATGTATTTTATTACAGTGCAAGATAACAAGACTGCAAGTATTAAAAACAACACAATGCATGATGTACGTGCATTAAATAATATAATTTAGGTCTATAAAAAGCTTTTTGGTTAAATTCTAAAAATACAGCAACTGAACACTTGAAAAAGTGTCACTTTTTTAAAATGAAAACACTAATGTACTTCATTGAGGAAATGTAATGTTTGACTTCAAGCTGATCGTTTCTCCACACCCTGTTTAATGCCTAGCACCAAGTGTAGGAACCAGTTGAACTGCACCGTCCAACCCTTGTCCCGGCAGATCTCGATTTGGTCCAAGAAGTGTTGTTTGGCCTCATCCTCCGAGCGTCCAACCGTCAGAGCTTCCCGTATGTACTCGATGTCCTCCTTGCTGGTCAGCTGAGGCATGCCGGTCATCAGCATCATGGAGAACAGGATGATCAGCAGGTTGGTGTGGTGTCTCAGAGCCAGGTAGGCCTTCAGGCAAACGCTCTGCGATTATGAGGGAGATTACGTTTAGTCACAGCAGAGGAGTCAGTTGCTAACAGGTGATATTGTATGAACGTACCTGAAACTGGAGGAAATGAGGGCTGCTTTTTTTGCCCGTTGTGCTCATCACATAGAGAAAATCAGGAGTCAGCACAAAAGGAACTCGCTCCTTGCTGATCCCCATGAAACTCTTGTAGTTTCCAAGTATGTGACCGAAATCAATGTGGAATAGGTTACCTAGTTGAAAACACATGCATTTTGTTATTGTTCCTTGAACTGGTTAACTAATGAAACATTCAGGTTTCAATACAAGTTGAGCTCAAACACAGCATTTGCATAAAAAATTCATACAATTTTATAAAGCGGATATCAAGGGTGCACAAAGAGGGCCAATTTTTGCAGGTTGTAAAATTTTGAGTTTATAAATGACATAAAAGCACAATTCGTCTGTTAAAACTTGTGTATTATTTGAGCTGTAAAGCTTTTTAAATCAGCATTTGTACAGTCGTTTGGGCATCTTAGGGTTTATAGCATTAAAAGGTGTAAAGCTGGTTATAAGAAAAAGTTAGTTTGTTTGTTTATTTATAAAATTGGAAAGTTAGTAAAAAAAAATTTTCCTCACCAAAACCATATTAAAGGGGTCATATGATGCTTTTTTAAAGATCATTATTTTGTGTATTTGGTGTAACAGAATATGTTGACATGCTTTAATGTTCAAAAAACACATTATTTTTCAAATACTGTACATTATTGTAGGTCCTCTATGCCCTGCCTCTCTCAAACGCTTCGTTTTCTACAAAGTCCCTCCTTCCTACAAGCGCAGTCTGCTCTGATTGGCCAGCTGACCCAGTGCATTGTGATTGGCCGAACACCGCAAGCACTCGTCGGAAATGTAACGCCCCTTACCATAATCGCGAGCTTCAGCTTTCAAAATAAATGTAAAGAGAGCCCGAAAGGGGAACAGAGTCTCGTGACAGACACAGTGATGAATATGTGTTTGCCACACACAAGCCACGGTTAAGACAGCTGACTCCACTGTGATGTGTGTCTCTCTCTCTCTCTCTCGCGCGCGCGCACACACATATCCCGCTCTCTCTCTCTCTCTCTCTCGCGCGCGCGCGCACACACACCCCGCTCTCTCTCTCTCGCGCGCGCGCGCGCACGCACACACATCCCGCTCTC